ATTTTCATATGTTGAACCAACCTTGCATTCCCAGGATCACTACTATCTGGTAAGGTGGATTTTTAAAATATAGTACTGGATTTGGCTTGCATGTATTTTGTTGATTTTCTGCATTTCTTTTTCTTTGAAGGATTTGGAAAAGATTGATATTAAATCTTCTTTAAATGTTTGGTAGCATTCATCAGTAAATGTATCTGGCTCTGCTTTTTTTTCCATATGGGTAATTTTTTTTAAAGATTTTATTTATTTGTGCATACAAGAACAGAGGTACAGGCCAGAGGTGCAGAGGATGAAAGGATTCACCAGAGACAGAGAGGGGAACAGAACAGATAGACTAACAGAAATATACTGCTGAAGGAAGCAGAGGGTAAGAGAGGAGAGGTTTGCCAACCCATGTGAGTCAGCTCTGTGACTAGGGATCAAACTCACATTGCAGTGGCTGCAGATAGCTTCACAGTGCTGCACCACAAACCCCTGAGCCACCAGAGAGGTCCCAGTGGGAAAATTTTGAATACAAATACAATTTATTTCTTTGTTATAGATCTATACATATTTCTATTTCTTGTTGAACAATTTTCTATAGTTTATATGTTTATAGGCATTTGCCCATTAGGTTATTTAAATTGTTGGTACACATTTGTTCAAAGATTTGCTTTAATATTTTTTTTTATTTCTGTTAGATTTATAGAAATATTTTTACTCCTGATTTTAATAACAACTCTTCCTTTCTTAAAAACATAACTTTTTACAAAACAAATTTATTTCTGTATAATCTATAATTTTTTTTAAATCTTTTTTTTTAAGATTTATTTATTTATTCATATAGAACTGGGATACAGGCCAGAGATGCGGAGGGTGAGAGGATTCACCAGGAACAGAGTGGGGAGCAGAACAGGCAGATCGACGAAGTACACTGCTGAGGGGAGCAGCGGGTGGACCAGGAGAGGTCTGCCACACCATGTGGTCTCCTCCAGGGCAGGCGGGAATCGAACTCATGTGGAAGTGGCTTAAGCTTCCTAGTGCTGTGCTTTAACCCGCTGCGGCACCAGGGAGGGCCTAATCTATAATTTAAAATGAAACAAAAACCAAGATATATACAAAACAAAAAGTCGTATCAAAATGGCATCTAGTAATGTTACTAAGTATGACAGTCATTTTTCTTCTATGGGCTTCAGTATCTTTACCAGTAAATTAAGATGTTGGTTTATTGCTACTAAAGTGGTTGAAAGATTATTTTCATGTTCATGAATGGATTAAAGACTATAGTTTGGTATGTTTTTGAACAGAAAGTAGACGGTTTGGGAGGAGCTCAGTATTTCTGAATGGTGTAGTAGGAAAATAAGGATAGAATTCAAATTGAAGCCAGATTGTAGTCCTGTTGGAATACTGGGGAAAGATATTTGGGCTTGGCAATGAAGAACTTTTGAGGTTTTAGGGTAGTGAGAGTGAAAGTCAAGGGCACTGGCTTAATATTGGTGTGGGACTGATAGTGCTAGGAGATCACCTAGGGAGTAGGAGTCATGGTAGTTGGACTGGAAAAAGAAGATATGAAGACCAAAGAGCTTCTATGTTTTAGAAAGCATGCCTTAGAACTGAGTTGCCTCGGTTGACGCTGTGTCTCTGGTAGTAGTTATGTGTAGAATAGATCTAACCGTAGGTATTTGTTAAATTGAGTTGCATTAACAAACTCATGTTAAAGTTCAATGAAAACTGAAGAAAAATTTTCTTTCTCAAGTACTATGAGAAGGCTTCCCGGAAATTCTTACCAATTGCCATTTTGTGGACATTGTCTATCTTCTTACTTGCCACCCAGAACCCCATCTATGCCTGTAACAATGAAAACCATTCATGAGCAGGTATGTATTAGCTTGCTAAGATTGTTGGGCAGGGGTTGATTTGGCACTCTGGACTGACATTGCACTGAGAAGATGAATTTATGAGCTGACATATGTCAACACGCTTTGACATACAAGTAGTTTTCATGCGCATAGAACTGGAGTACAGAATAGGAAAACTGAAGAGCAGGGTACTTAGAGTTCAGACCAGAAAATTAGTCTTGGGTCCAGGGGATCTTTTGTGGAAACGTCTGTGGGACACAATAATTGGGCCTTAGATAACACCTTTTCTCAGGCTGAGAAGCATCTTCCTTTGAACATTAATGTACAAAGGGCAGAGACTTTTGTCTGTAACTTAAGTATATGGTACATAGTAAGCACCAAACATAGATTTTATGAGTGAATGTTCCACCCGCCACTCATTCTTTCAAGTTAAGACAGCTTCTTAACCCAAGTGGTGGAATTTTGCTGTTGCAGAATTGAAGTAGATGATAGTATTGACATCTCAGAAGCTCCTTGGGAAGGTTCCTACTACCCAAGCTTTTAGTTCCAGTTAGAAATGACTACTCAACCAAATTCTGTGTAACAAATCCACTTCTATTTGGCTACCAGTACCTTCCTTCCCACTTGTTATTCAGAGTATGGCTTGATCTAGTTCTGTCTTGCCCTGCCTTCTCCTATGCCCCCACACCAATATTTTGTATTCCTTCTCATGGGACATGTTCCACAGATTTGTTTCATTCCATCCATCAAAAAGGCAATATTTTAATTTGACTTATCTTAAACTACTAAGAAGAATAAAAAAAGTTCTTGTTTTTAAAAATTATTTATTTATGCTTACAGAACTGGGATACCAGCCAGAGGTGTGGGGGTGAGAATACTCACCAGAGACAGAGTGGGTAAAAGAACAGGCAGATCAACTGAAATACGCTGCTGAGAGGAGCAGTGGGCGGGTCAGGAGAGGTTTGCCAAGCCATGTGGGTGAGCTCCCTCCCCAGGGATCGAACTTGTGCTGCAGTGACTTCGGAGAGTTTCATAGTGTTGTGCTTTAACCCATTGTGCCACCAGGGAGAGCTTTGTTCTTATTTTTTTAATGATTTGCCTATGGTACTGTCTTCATAGCAGGGTTGTATTGGTTCTATGAGAAGTAGGAAACAACTAATGGATTATTAGAGGATGAGGCTTTCATTGTTAGAAATGCAAAGCATGACACACAGGATGTGTTTGTATCAGTGCCTAGAATCACCTTTTGGAACAGATCTACTTCTTGAATAATATCCCACAGCATTGTCTATTAAAAGAGAGATATTAGCATATAGAAGACACATAGCTAACTCTGGAAGCTGAAAAGAAATTTACAATGCATAAATTATAGAGGGTAATAAGGTTCTGGGTGGAGATACATTTTTGGACATTTGGTTGTGTGTAAAAATTATATTAACATAGGTAGTGTTAATATAATAGATAGCAAACCCTATTTGCTTTGATCTGTGAAAATTAGTGGAACATATACTGGAGTTCTCTCCAGTCTCCTGGGTGGTAGCCATGCTGTCCACCATCTGTGAGGTGAAGGGAAAGACGAGAATACAGAGTTGAGCAGTAACTACTGTCCCTATAGCTTGTTCCCAAAACCTCTGGACTCATAAGGCCACCCATCAGCAAACTTTTATGGTGACAGCAACAGTGATACATTTAAATTGTTTGAATTTATATTTGTAAGGCATGGATGTTTGTAAAAAGCTGGAGAGAGATGGATTGTTGACATAATTGGAAATCTCCTTGGCTACTTTTCCTAGAAGATTTAACCACTACTCCTGCACCCCAACACTCGGTGTTCTGCCTTCCAAGCCTAAGGTGAAATAAACCATCTCCCTGATGGCATATTTTCAGATAAGTCATTCTTAATCCAGAGACATTTCACCCGCTTCCCCGAAAGAGGTTTTATACATCCCTTTGACTTCATGATTTGGGCTGAATATTCTCAAAATCACTCAACTATATCCATTTCTGATGAATTTAATAATTACCAGCTCGGGTCCTCCCTGGTGGTGCAGTGGGTTAACGCACAGCACTGCAAGCTAACAGCAGTGCTTAATTCAAATTTGATCCTCGGCGCTCAAGGTGATCCACATGTTGTGGCAGACCTCTCCTGACATGCTCACTGCTCCCCTCAGCAGTGTACTTCATTAATCTGCCTGTTGTGCTCCCCACTCTGTCTCTGGTGAATTCTGTTACCCTCCCACACCTCTGGGCTGTACCTTAGCTCTATATGCATAAATAAATAAATCTTTAAAAAATAATTATCAGTTCATCTTGGTCCAAGCCCTTCCCTAATTCTTTCTTGTCTCACATAAAACCAAATAGTACAGCATTTAAGAGCACAGGTTCTGGAGATAAACTGCTTGAAACCTGTTCCAGAGCCTCTGCTTCTTAACTGTGTGACTCCAAGAAAATTCCTTAACTTTTTGAGCCTCAGTTTACTCTTCTGTGAAGTAGTGATAATAATGGTACCTAGCAGGACTGAATAATAGTTTATTGAAATATCTTAGGATAATGGCTGGTGTATACTAATTGATCAAACAACAACTATTGCTATTATATGATGGAAGAGTATTCTGTCATTTCTACTCCAGTGTCAAGGAATTAGAGATCTTAGCATATCCAAGGAATTTTATAGTCAAATTTTAATGATTATATACCCTTTGATAGGAATCAATAAAAAAGGGACTGTTTTAGGGATGTCCACTCCTCTGTCAAACTTGGCTTCCATGCTGATAGTCATTATGTTTTGTGGCACCAATCCAGTTGTGGCACTAAAGATGTATTCTTTATACTTATTTTTCAGTGCAGCTGTGCTGTCTGTATATGTTCCAGCATGAATGCGTTCTGCTTATCATAATTTTCTCCTCTCAAATACTTTTACCCAACAAAACTTTGGAAATTATTACCCATCCTTCATTTACTTATAGGTCAGCAGAAACATAAAGAGAATTGGACTCATGTCTAGGGCCAGCAATTCACCCTAGAGCTACCATTCAGTTTATAGTTGGGCCTCTAGTTGAACGCTGTCTGAATACCTGGATATTTTAGTTTATAATTTTCCTACTTGGATGAAACTTCTCAAAGAAAGAAACTAACCTATTATTTTTCTGTCTGCTTCCACAGCTTTGGGTGAACCAGGAGGATGGGGTGGAAGAAGGTCCCAGTGACATGCAAAACGGACACCTGGATCCCAACTCAGACTGCCTCTGTTTGGGCCGGCCACTGCAGAACCGTGACCAGATGCGGGCCAATGTCATCAATGAGATCATGAGCACTGAGCGTCATTATATCAAGCATCTCAAAGACATTTGTGAGGTAGGCTCAATTATGATCATGCTGGTGGTTGAGTGTAGGGTAGGGTACAGGACATTTCAAAGAAAAATAAATAAACCATGTGGACACTGCCTGTGACAGTCCCAAGATGTTAACAATCACAGCTGGCCTGTGCTTCACTAGATTCTGTCTAGTGCACACAACTGTTTTCTTGGGATTTCTCTGTTTTCTTGTTTTTGTTTCTTGTATGTTTGTTTGTTTTTTAATCTAATTCTCTCTGTGTGTCTGACTCTCATTTCAAACTCTCACGTGCTTCTCCTTACCCTTTTTAAACTTCCCTTCCCCCTTAAATTTCTACTCAAGTCCTTTGGGCTTCTGATCCAGCTGTTGCCACCATATATAAGGTCACGACCTCATTAATTAAGTAAAGCCTCCATGCTAATGGTTCTCAAATTTGATTGTGCACCAGAGTCCCTGGGGAAGCTTGCTGTACATGTAGATTCTAGCTCTTTTTCACTCCCACCCAATCTTGTAACTTTTTAGTTTGGAAAAAAAGCATAGGCACCTCTGTATTTAACAAATGTCCCAGGTGATAGTGATGGTACAGATCTGCTTTTTTTAGAAAACTGGTTGAATTTGAGATAAAGACATCTCCAGATATAACAGAGATAAAAACTAGGTGAACAATTCTTAGCCTCTGTTGTTTGACGCGTTGCTTCTCAGAGTCTATGGCTTCACATTATCTAATTTTATGTCTCCAATATCCCAAATCTGGATGAAATGAAAACCTTTTTGTCAAATTCTCCCTTGAATTCAAGTTGGCATTTTCAGATGTAACTTTTCTAAGCAGTATGGAAAAGCCAATGAGAAATGGAGAAAAGAATGACTTAAAAAGATTAGACACAAACTCTTATTCACAAATATACTTTTAAAAATATTTATTTATGCTTACATAACTGGGGTACAGTCCAGAGGTGCCCGGGTGGTGAGAAGATTCACCAGAGACAGAGTGGGGAGCAGAACAGGCAGATTGACAAAGTACACTGCTGAGGGGAGCAGCGAGTGGGTCAGAAGAGTCTTCCACAACATGTGGGTCAGCTCCCTGCCCAGTGATTGAACTCGTGCTGTTCTCAGGCTTCAGAGAGCTTCATAATGCAGTGCTTTAACCCATTGTGCCACCAGGGAGAATCTCACCAATATTTTTAAACATCCTTCCAGATGAGGAGTCAGGTCATATTTCTGTCCCCCAGTCCTGTTGAGTGGTACCAGACTATTGACTCTGAAGACAGGAGTACAACTCCAACCTCTTTGAAAACTCTTGTTTCTGGGCCTTCTGGTGTCACAGGGATTAAAGGCTCAGTGCATATCAAGTAATGGCCAGCCACTGCAGCATGAGTTCAGCACAAGTTCGACCCCCAGCCAGGGATTACCCCACCTATGCAGCAGTCCTCTCTTACTTTGCCTGCTGCTCCCCTCAGCAATGAATTTCGGTAGATACAAAAATTCTGCTCCTTATTCTGTCTCTGGTGAATACTCTCTCCACCAATACCTCTGGCCTACACCCAGTTCTTCATGCATAAATAATAAAAAATAAATCTTTAAAAAGTGCTTGTTTTGGCCCTCCCTGGTGGCGCAGCGGGTTAAAGCACTGCACTGAGAAGCTAAAGCCACTTCCGCATGAGTTCGAATCCCGCCTGCCCCGGAGGAGCACACAGGCGTGGCAGACCTCTCCTGACCCGCCCGCTGCTCCCCTCAGCAGTGTACTTCATTGATCTGCCTGTTCTGCTCCCCACTCTGTCTCTGGTGAAGCCTCTCACCGCCCCTGAGCCTCTGGCCTGTACCCCAGTTCTGTATGTACAAATAAATAAATCTTAAAAAAAAAAATGCTTGTTTTTTTAGAGCAGTGAGGCCTAATTGAACTTCATGCCGCAATTACAAAACTCATTATCTGAATTCTGCAATAGAGCAGCCACTAATCAGGCATTTGTGACTTCTGAGCACTTGATCTATGTTTAATATTAAAGACAATTTGAATTTTAAATTTATTTAATTTTAATTAATTTAGATAGCCATATGAAATTTAGGGTAACCGTGTTGGACAATTTAGCTCTGTAAAATTCAAGGACAAGGTCTGTAGACCTTAACTCTCTTCAGTTCATTTTCTTACTCCTCCCGGGTTATAAAACCCCTCCCCCAACACCCATTCATAAAGTGGTATTATAGTATAGAAATAATCAAAGGCTCTGGGGAAATGGGTATATGACTTTTATATTCTAATTTAGCCACTAATTAAACCTGTGTCCTTAAAGGTACTCTTTAACCCCTCTGACCTTAATTTTCTGATTTGTCTAGTAGGTTTCATTATATTAATATCTTAGTTGTTTTTTTTTTAGGAAGTAAGTAAATATAATATTATTAGTGCATAATCCAAGAAGTAAAAAGGGGGTGCCCAGTTTGTGTGTCTTCACCCACATGCTCAGGAACTGAGGAAAAGACCAAAAATCAGACACACAGAAGTAAAAAAAATAGAGGTCTATTTGTAAGAATAGTTAGGAGAGGGGGACCAGAGAGAGATTAATTGACTAGAATTTGGTTAGATGCTTTCTGTGTTACCAGCAAGTATAAGTTATAGCTGAAAAAGCAAGAGGGTGAGGCTCTCTTGCTTCACATTTTACAGGTCAGCCCTGTAAAATACCTCTAGTATGCATACCTCTAGTATGCAGCAGCACCCACTGTTCAAGGAGTCTGGGTCATGGCATGCTATAGTCATAATCCATGTTAGCTGAGCTGTAGGTGGAAGGGAAAATGGCAAATATTGCTGTGCCCTCCACAAATTCCCCTGTTTTCCTTTGTTGTACCATTTCCTTTTTATTTTTATTTTCAGATTTATTTTCTTTATGTATGCATGGAAGAACTGGGATTTGGGCCACAGGTGCAGGGGGTTAAAGTATTATCAGAGACAGAGTAGGGAGCAGAATCGGCAGATCTACTAAAGGGTTCTGCTGAGGGGAGCAACAGTGAGATAGGAGAGGGTTGCTGTGTCATGTGAGTTCAATCCCCAGCCACACACTCAGAACACACAACCAAGCAGAATTTTTGTTAGTATTGTTGGAAATTTCCATAAGGGATCTTAGATTGAGCTTTTTTGGGGCAATAAGGCTACACTTAGCAGATTCCACAATTTCTCCTTCTAAAGGTACCCAAGACTTTTTTTCTCTGGGCCTTCTAGAACTGCCAATGGAGTCAATCTTCCCTACTTTCCTTGGAGATATCTGGATCCTCCAGGAAAAGTTCTCTTCTTGGCTATGATCTATTTAGACTTTGAGAAGGAATTCCTATAAAAGCATTGGAAATGAAATGTGTATCAAATTCTCTAATTTCCTTTTGAAATTATGCAAATATCATTATTTATGATACATTTCCACAAATAATAAGTATTGGTATATTTTTGCATATCACAATGCTATCAAGGAGAGAGAAAATGCATTACAATTCTGCTCACAAAAATTTAATTTCACATTGCTGCTGATCATGGTCAGCTGAAATTAAGTTTTTTCTAGAATCAAAAAATATAAAACCTGAACAGCATCATTTCAAACAAAGCTTATTAAACTTATTTTCATCATCAATTATCCATTCAGTCCGGTGTAAAAAAAAAAAAAAAACTCTTCCTCTTGAATTCAAGCAATTAGAATTGGTCTTAAAATATTGTTGAAGTTCTTCTCCTTTTAATTTCTCAAGGAACAATTCACTATTTATAATAGGCAAGACTTGAAATCAACCCAGATTTCCCAAAATAGAAGACAGGATCAAGAAGATGTAGTATATATATACATATTGGAATACAACTCATAAATGAAAAAAGACAAAATAATTCATTTATAGCAACATGGATAGAGCGAGATGGGATGCTCATAAGGAAAAAGAAAAATATTGCATGGTTTCACTTATAGGAGGAATATGAGGGAATCAAACAAGGGATCAAGGGGAAAATAATAACAATAAAAAACACAACAAAACAAAAAACAATGTGTTCCAATTTACTTTTTCCTAATATGTTCCAATTTACGAGATAAATGCCAAAGAGATCAAAGTCATCTATTTTTTTTCCATGAGGAAAGGGATAAGTTTTATGGATTGTTTCAAAAGCATTTGTAAGGATCCACACAGTTTCCTCTGATCAGTCAAATGAAACACTGCTTTTTTAAAAATCATAATTCTTATTTCTAGGAAGTTTAGTCATTTGTAAGTATTAGGAAACAATAATTTTATTGTAATCAAAGCTCCGGCTAAACTTATCCACTCTTATCTGAAGGAGGGCAGTGCACAATACCTGATTCCAATGCATGTGGATTTCTTGTCATAGTTTTACTAAGGTCTTTTTTAAAGTATAATTCATTTTTTTTTAGCATGCCTGTAGTTTGAGATCTCTAGGAATCATAGTTTCCAAGAAATGTAGAAGATCTTTTAAAAAATTTTATAGTTTATTTTTACATATTTTTGTGCATTTTTCCATCTCAGTTGCAATCCCCTTGGGTTTCCCATCACCAAATCACCCATATGCCATCACCATAGTCCAGTGCATTTCCCTCCCCCCCACAGTTTTTGATCCCATTCCCCACTCCATCCCCACAAAATGTCTCGGGTATATAGCTGTTCATCATTATCATTATTTTCTCCCCTGTTCTATTATATTCCTGCTATGAGAGAAAACGTTCAGTGTTTTTCCTTTTCTTTCTGGCTTATCTCACTAAGCATGATCTTTTCCAGCTCCATCCATGTTGCTGCAAAAGACATGTGTTTCTTTTTTGATTGCTGAGTAATATTCCATTATGTATATGTACTGCATCTTTTTAATCCAGTCATCTACTTTTTGGCATTTGGGCTGTTTCCATGTCTTTCCAATTGTGAATAAAGCAGCAATAAACATGAGGGTGCAGGTATCTTTTTGAATCACTGTTTTTGTGTCTTTTGAGTAGATACTGAGGAGTGGGATTGCTGGTCGGGAAGCTCCATGTTTAGCAGTTTGAGGAACCTCCAAA